GACCAACAAAAAAGCGTTAAATTCGTATTGTTCACTGAAGCATCTAACTTTCGAATACTCATTATTATGTGAAGTAAATACGTGAAAGCGATCGAGTCACATTGAATATCACGTACTGAGGATAAGCTGAAGTGTCGTGCGTTCGGACGATCAATCCGCTTTCACGTATCCAGCTTGTAGTTATGTATCTTTATGGCGGGGAGTATTGAGGGATCTAGTGATGTGCCTAGCCGAGGTTTTATCGAAATCAATTAGATTAGTTCTTTTAAAAGAACTTTCCCTTCTTATAAAATACGCGTATTAAGAAAGTTCAATGCTCTCATATAGATTTTGTATTAACACAATATGATAGTTCCTGTGTTAAGCGGTGGAATTGAAATTAATTTATGTATTGAGGCTTCCATTTAAGACCTCATCGTCAAGTATCATCAAATAAGGTCAATTTCGAGGTTCAAAAAAAGTTCCGACCTATTTCAAAGTTGAAAACTGGTTTCAATTGTTTGATCAGATAATTACTCGTTAATCTTTCTGTAGATAAAACATTGCGTAACGCCTCTATGAAATATGTATTTAGGTGTCAGGAGATACTCTAGTATTAGCCGTTTAATCGTGCGTGTCAGTATCGCATCAGTACACCAGTCAGGCGAAGAGCACGACGCAGGAAAGTGTGCCTGTCAGTGCTCTCAACGTAATTGGATCTTTACCGATCTCAGTCAACGCGTGCTCAGACAGCTCGGCAAGATCGCGAGGAAATGCGTGATATTTTGAGACGTGCAACTATAATTAGTGTGGGGATGAGTTTTGTTTGTGAATGTGTGTCCCTAAAAATGGGAGTGCCCCAAGGCTCAATACTGGGACCATTGCTCTTTCTGATTTATATAAATGATCTACCTTTTTATTCAAAGGACCTTTGTGAGATANTAAGTTCGCAACTCGTCTTATCGTCAAGGTTGTGTTGTCAATTTTTTGGCCAATTTTTGTATTACATACTATTTGACGCTGACTGTACATCAAACTAAACACTGTGGTTCCAAGTAGTTGGAATAGGTTTGATTTTGTAAGTAAATTGTATGGTTTGATATGCGGCCGACTGTACCATCGCACGTCGCAGTAGAACCGGCTTTGGAATCCACCGTAATAGGATTTTCACTTTCGTACCTTAGACTTTGGACTACGGACTCGAATACCATACAAACCGTTCTAAAATCCACCTCCTTTGGTATTCAAGATGTAAATTCAATTATTGAGTCAATTTTATCAATTGAAACATGTTCAAGTTAATTAATTTACCTACGCAATCTTAAATCTCAGAGAAAGTGTGTACTTTGACTTTCGACGAATCTCTTTACCTGCCTAGCTCGCACTTATTACATAAATCTTGTTTAATTAAGTATTTGCTGTATTTAATTGAAAAAGAGGCTGACAAAGGTGACTGAGTTTCTTCCGCCACTTCTTCTCAGCACCAGCCCATTATGTTGTCCCGAAGTGGTGGTAGGGCAAGTTTGTATTTATTTTTATTTGGTACGTGCATAAGCGCCCTGAAAAGGGTTTAAATACTGATTTGAATCCTTTAAGTATTTTTAGGAGCTAATATAAACAACTGATGCATAGACGTTCTCATCAAGATGAGTCATATAGATTAACAGCTTTATTTAGACCTGTTTAGTCCGAAAATGCGTACGTAAAAGTTATTATTACAATGTTAAATGAGTAGTTATGTAGAGACCACGTCAAATGGCTATAATTTTAGCTTAATTGGAGTCAAACTTGGACATTATTTTGTACTTAATGTATGTAAACTGTACTGCTATGTTGTCATATTCGCGTTGACCTTCTAAAGATTATCTATTCACTTACCATTTCGTAGGTTTTGTTGTATTTAAAAGTTAGCGGACGCCTGCGATATGTATTTTACAAAAAATTACGAGTCGTGTATTTTTTATTTAGTCTATTTATAACAAAACAATTTTCAAGATTTTCTAATGAATTTTAAACCGTCCTTGAGTAAGGAGTTTCAAAAAAAAATCTAAAATTTTTGGCAGTTTTTTCTGTCTGAAAACTATTTTTCGAGCATTCAAGACTTTGTCTATGAGTGAAAGACTAATATAAATACTTACAGATTTCTAGATAAGTAAGCGTAGCGTTTGCGTAGACAAGGAGTATCTTTACACAATGATCTTGGTTTTGATCACAAAGAAAAGTGGTATGAACTGCTCGGCTGGTGATTGAACCAATTGATATATCCGACTCATCGCTGGACAGCTGGTACACACAGACTCTACGTTTTAATGCAAAATCACATCTATTATAATTAACATAAGACACCACGGTTTTAAGCTTGATAAGCTGTCGACTGTGCCTATAGTAGAGTGACGTTTTTTCTCGTATTGACTCGAGAGTGGTTTAGAAATTCGCATGTATCTGAAGGCTTTACAAGTAAAGTTTTATTGGTGATAAATCGAAACAATTATGAAAATGGGGGCTATTCTCAGACCGAAGAATCATTCAAGCGCCGCGCCGTTTCGTAGGAGTTTTACAAACAATGTGACATAAGAATTTTAAATATACTTGAACGATTTTGAAACGCCAAATGACAAAGATCGGAAATAGTAACCCGGCATTGATGGCAACGCCCTCCTGCAAATAACATTTCAGTGTTTTCCGACGTGGCAAAAATCAGAACCAGAGATCTGGTATTGACGGTGGCGCCCCCTGTCAATGTCACGGTTCAGTGTAGGTCACAGACACACATATTGTAAAAAATCTTTGATATTTATAAAGGAAACAAGAAACTATTATAACATACTTGTTTCCTTAAAATAAATAAATAAGCCATTCAAATTATTCAATTTACATTTACATTAGATTACTTAATGTTATTTATTTATGCCTCACTATTACATTTATATTTAGGCCTTTATTATTTAATCATTGCTTGTTTCCTTATCAAACGACAAATAAATCCAATAAAGTACTTATAACGTGCGTAGATAATAATCGACATCCTTCAGAATTCATACTTCATTTCACTTGTTATCAGATTACATTCAATTGAACCTAGAGTAAAGGTGATTTAACGATAAAAATTATCAATAAATTGCGGTTCCAAAGTACACAGATTCTGTTATAAGCAGCCGTACGATCTAGGTACAGACGACACATGAAGCTAATAGAGTAAGAGCTAGTGAACACCAGACCTAAGTACGTCATTTTATAAAAGCTGAAAGTTTTTCAGCGTATGCTCCCAATATAGTATAGAATGTTGGCTTTGGCAGCTATCCTAAAAAGACTGTCTGGCTGACTGAGTTGGAACTGTCAAAACTGTCTGGCTGATGAGGAAACTACTTCTAATTATTGCCCTAATATTTTATATAAAAATATAAAATTACGTAGGTCTGGCGTTCACCAGCTCTGTAGTTATAAGCTCTGCGGCATTTTATGCAGTTGTAATAAGCACTATATTGCAACGAAAATTTATAGTCTAATGTGAGGCAGGCTTGGGACTATTCCCACCTCTCGTTCCCACCGCTGCAACTCCTGTATAGCCAGAATCTACAGCTTGACCGCCAAAAAAACCCAACCAGTGAAGGACAAGTTTGTTAGGCTGTTTATGGAGAAAAGTTGAATGATATTTGATCTTGAATCCATATAATTCGAACCATGCGTATCACGTAGTCTATTTAGAGCAGGGTTTCCCAATTTTTTTTTGCCAAGGAACCCTAATTGATTATACTTTTCCTAGCGGAACCCTTGTGCGTAAACAAGTCGGTGCGAGCGAACAACGTCGATCACGAAACGTGGTATAATATTTTTTACGGAACCCTTGCGGCCTTTCCACGGAACCCCAGGGTTCCGCGGACCACCATTCGGGAACCGCTGATTTAGAGTACCCGTTCAAATGGCACCCGCACGAATAGCACCTGGCCTAGTCCACGAAGAGAACCTATCGATATCGCTATTCGTGGATATTTCTTTTGCCAGATTTTTCCACAATTTTTTTTTTTTGGATTTCTTATTTTTCTTTTGTTTTTCATGTAAAATCACTATGAATGTAAGGTAGGCTCTATATACCAGTGTACAATCCAATGACAATGTATTTAAGTCATGTAAAATAAAATAAAAATGTATATTCTTAAAACTTGTTATCATAAACGAGCTATGTGTTATTCTTCATAATGCAAAAACACGTTGACGTCTTTAAACTAACATTTGTAAACTAAATAAATTAACATGTTACATTGCATTGTCTTGTACCAATATCTTAAAGATACAACAACAATAAATAAATAGCTATAATGAAGATGCAAAGAAAAAATTGCGTATGATGTATGTATGATCTGTGTATGTGTGTGTTCTATGAATAACAGAAACAGAAGAAGTTTTCCATAATCACGTGGAATAAGGATAAAAATATATTGAAAAGTTATCGATAATTTTGAAATAAATGGAATAAATCTGTACGAAAACCTGAGTTGAAAGATAATAAAAAAAACTTTAGCATGTACATATGAATAGATAGCTATTTTTGAACAATGTAAAAAAACTTAGTTACAAACCCTTATTCTAGCGCAGTCTGGTAAAAATAAATATTTTTAGCGACCTTTCTTTATTTAGGGTGGATTCGACCAAACAAGAGTAAATATTAATCTCAGAATAAACTTGTCATTTTTACATATTTCCCATACTGAAACTGTCAATGTGCCAGTTATACCAGGAGTTGTTCTCGGATAAAAGTTTGGTCGAATCGGACCTTAGTCGATCTTATCTCTAGAGATAAGATCGGTTCCTTCCTAGGAAGGAACCCATCTGGGTTGTATGGAAAAGAGCGCTTCCTAGCGATAAAACCACCTAACTAACTTTTGTGTTTCAATTATGTATTTCTTTTACATATCCATTTTGTGCAGTGTGCAATAAAGAATATCTAATATCTATCTCATCCTGATAACCCTGTTATTATGGAGATTAATGCATATTTTTATATTTGTATTCCCTTTTTTCAGACACCCGGAATCATGGTGGCGTACCTACTGGTATCAGGAGTATTCCTAACATTCCTCAGAAAACCTACAGGTATTTATGATTGGTTATTATTACATTAAATTAGCCTATTGTTAGTGATGCATATCTTTATCTTAAAGGTTACTTAAACCTTTGTTTTGTCACCTGTCATCCGCTTTGCACTGGAGGGAAGTAAATCCTTAACTTCAAACTCCTCCTTTGTTCTACTGATTAATTTCGTTGCGGGTCTAATGACAGTTTAATTTTCTCCGGGACAAACTTAACCTTCACCGGTTGGGTTTTTATTGGCGGTCAAGCTGTAGATCCTGGCTGCACAGGGAGTTGCAGCTGTGGGAACGAGAGGTAAGAATAGTCCCGTAGCCTTTCGTTATGGTACTAACTTGCCCGCGGTGCGTGTTTTGTCGCTAGTAGGCTGTCATAGGCTTAAATAATAGAAGCTGCAGCAGTTAACTAATATGTAATATAAAATGTATGCTCTTTTTAGCCAAAATGACTGTTTTGGAGCAGAAACTGGAGGGCGAATTCAGATACGTAAACGCAAGGCTCATAACGAATTCAGAAGAGATCGCATTCTATCAGGTAAGCTTAATCTAATCTCTCTCTCTCTCCTTTCTCTCTCTTTTTATTTGTCCCAGCACTATTATAGATCGTTTCATCCACAAAGACGCGCCCCACCATTCTTCCGCTAATGTTTGAGCGTTATCGGTACACGCTAAATAGGCTAGTTTCCAAAAGTTTATTTTTTGATATTACACATGACGGATTAAAAAATTTTTTAGTCCGTCATGTTTAATATTAAAAAATATTGGACACATATATTTTTATTTGTCAATCTAACAAATAATTACATAGTTATGGTGCGTTGAAGTTCCGCACGACGTCACAACGTGCGGCACTTTTATGCACAGGTCACAGGCCTCTTCTTATGAACTTTGGCGCGCTTTATCTCTTTAAATTTTCATTACTTTGAAAAAAAGGAAAAATACGTGTAGAGTATTTTTTGATAAGTTAACTGACGGACTAATTAAAACTCTTGCTTTTTGACCCAGGAAACATCCCTATTATCCATGAGTGCACACGCAATTACAATAATGACGCTCTGATTGCTCGGAACAAACTTCTCGCACCCCGCGCTTCCGTCGACCAAAAATTGGTGGGGCGCGTCTACGTGGATGAAACGATCTATACAGAGATGTTTGATAACTCCATAGCAAAAATCTGTCACGGGAAACTCTAGTGATGTGTTTTTCAAAGTAAATATTATGCTGTAAATGTTGATTTCACTTTAACCACCAGAGTTGACTGTCTCAATGTGTATGAATAATCAATTTACGTATTTATTTGTTTATTTGTAATTATTGATATTTATTCAAATATTATGCTAAGAAATGTCTTTGAAGCATTACATTAGGCATACTGATCTATGACGCTATGAGGTTTGACTTGTCGTATTTTTATTTATAATTGTCTGAAGTAAGATGTCATTGATTTTGACAATCTTTATGAATCTTGCGTGAAGTAAATGTCAGATAAATTGATAAGATTATAAAGGCCCCATAAATAAGTTGTGGTTTGAGCACCAGAATTACCCCATTTTGTATAGGATAGTTTTTCTAAATCCTCTATTTGCCTCTGGTAAAGAAGCAGTGGAAGCTATAGAACTTAATTCAGTCAGTGTCTGACGCCCGTATTCACAAACATTACTATGAGGTCTTATAATGCGCACAGGGTGACACACGAACCAATCACAGAGCTCTATTCACTTAGCAAGCATCGTTTGTTAATACGGGTGTGAGGTATGGGAGCGTCACGGCAGGGGTGACATTGACATAATTATGACGTGACAAATCTGAAGCACATTTGACGTCTCAAAAACACCCTCCCGTATCGCTCTCATACCTCAGGCTTGGACTGAGGTTACGTGCTAGACATAAAATGACTTAATGATGAGGCAGACTGACACAAAAGGGGGTGCCTTTGTCATTTTTACATATTTCCCATACTGAAACTGTCAATGTGCCAGTTTACTGAAAAAGAGTGCTTGGCAGTTACACTGTTACAGATGTTACAGAGTGGGTGACCTTTTTTGGCAACTTTTTTATTTTTTTAACTAGCTTTCCGCCCGCGGCTTCGCCCGCGTGGAATTTTGTCTGTCACAGAAAAACTTTATCGCGCGCGTCCCTGTTTCAAAAACCGGGATAAAAACTATCCTATGTTCTTTCCCGGGACTCAAACTATCTCTATGCCAAATTTCATCAAAATCGGTTGCGAGGTTTAAGCGGGAAAGCGTAACAGACAGACAGAGTTACTTTCGCATTTATAATATTAGTTGGGATTAGTTGGGATGATGTGTATATCTTTTGTTGCCGAAATAAAATTATTTTCTTTCTTCATGAGGTCTTTCGTGCTTTATTTGTAAAACCTATATGCTCATTTGTATGAACATATCCTCAGGGCAACCACAGGGAGCAGTTGACTCTCCTCGCCAGTTTCTACAAGCTGACGCGGCATCTACGCAACTTCTTGAACTTCAGAGTCGCTATGGGATTCATCGACAACATCATAGCTAAATGTAAGTTTGTTTTTAAGCTAATAAGGTCCGTATCTCGTTAGCATACGGTGCATATTTCAGGTAGTCCGTGTCCCGGTATATGTGTTAGTTTTGAAGCGAATTAGGTGCATATCCCGTTAACATACGGTGCATATTTATTTAGGTCTTTTAGGTAACTATTGTTGCTGTGCTGTGTGCCGTTGGAAGCCAATATTAGAGGATTCCCCATATTTTACCCGAAAAGTTTCACCACAGGTTCCACCATAATGCAATTCGTAAACTTTGATTCTTTCGCAGCTGTAGTAAGTATTATGTAAGGTTTAGGCTCGTTAACTCCAAGCCAGTAATAGGCTTCATTTCAATATTTAGAACAATTACAGGCTCGTAACTTTGTTCGGGTTTTAAACATTGTTTTATTTTATTACGAGCTTATTATTGTGTCTGAAAGTTAGCTTCAAAAAGAGTTTTTAAGTCCCATATTTATGCAGTCGCTCATACATAATGAAATACAAGGTAAAACGTGAAATTTCCAAATGTAAAGGAAATAAAAGTACCTATACAAGTGACATTTAACCCGCCGCGCAGTTAATCTATTGTGAGTTACAAAATGTCTGTCTGGTGAACTGATTCCTATTTGCAATTGTAATTAGTTTATCAACGTTATAAATATCCAAATTAAAGAATACATTTACATGGACACTGTTGGTTTTCGTTTCTGACCAAATCATTGAATTTATCTAGAAAATACATGCTTATTATGGTGAGCTGTGAGAATCAGGTTTTGAAATGGAATAATTACAATAATATTTACTTGTGTTCTCATCTCTGTTACAGTAGAGTTCAATAAATATATTGGCAGTGCCAATGTTTCAAAATATTTTTAGCGTTTTAACAATCATATAACTATTTTCATACAAACTCAAACATCAATAAAATGTAATCATATAAACTGTTCATTAACATATTATGTAAATGCGCTAAAATATTTTGAAACATTGGGTATTGCCAATATATTTATGAAATCGATTGTACCACGAGAGATTTGCGAGAATTCCCTCCCTTCGCTTCTAAAATAGTACCTACTAGCTTTCCGCCCGCGGCTTCACCCGCGTGAAATTTAGTGTCACAGATCGGCATAAATTACAGCCTATATGTTAATCTGGATTACAAACAATAATACTGTAAAGTTTCAACAAAATCTGGTCCGTAGTTTTTTCGTGAAAGAGTAACAAACATCCAGACATCCAAACTTTCGCATTTATAATATTAGTAGGATTGCAACGACGTCAGTTTCTTCGATATTTATTTGTGTAATATGTTAAAGTCAAAGCTCATAACCGGTCAAATCCAGTTTAGACTGCAAAACTCTTCGTATAATTGAAATGCGACAAGTGAGGTATTTTATATGTACATTTAGCTTTTTAATAGCCTGTTTTATTTTTATTTTGCAGATGTCGCGATCACAGTCGGTTTCTACGCCGTATCGCGGCCGTTCTTCGCCAAAAACCACAATCTGCTCACAACTGGAACTGAAAATGATAGGTTTAAGGTATAATAATATTTTAATTATTATTATTATAATGGTGGCTCAGGGAAAAAGTTATTTTGGTGCGTTTACCTGAACATTCTCTGTATTTAATCAAAGGTTCATTTATTTAACAGTAAAATCGAACCGCTATTATTACAATGAAACAAAATCCTAAAAATAACAAACTTCTCACAATTAATTCTAAACTAAACGATTGTTGTTAGTCAGCTTTTCGACTAGCCTTTCATTTAACCTATTTTAAATATAGACAATGGTTCTAGAAAAAACTCAATGTCTATTAAAATTTTTAACATGAATAATTTATACATTTTTTTATTTTATTACATAAAAATTCTCCAGCACTACTACACATACGGAAGAATGATGGTCAAAATGGCGGAAGGCATCGGTCGTCTCGTTCTGTCCGGTCGCGAGATGAACAAATTGGCTGGGCTCACGGCGCGAGTCACACAACTTCGTACAGTGCTAGATGAAGTGTACCAAGGGAACTACAAGAGGACCATGCTCGATAGGAACTCGCAGAATGGCACCACTACGTCTGGTGAGTGAATAAATAAAGAACTTCTAATGATTAAAATTTTGGCTGCCTCGTTCTATCCGGTCGCGAGATGAACAAATTGGCTGGACTCACGGCGCGAGTCACACAACTTCGGACAGTGCTAGATGAAGTGTACCAAGGGAACTATAAGAGGACTATGCTCGATAGGAACTCGCAGAATGGCACCACTACGTCTGATGAGTGAATAAATAAATAACTTCTAATGATTAAAATTTTGGCTGCCTCGTTCTATCCGGTCGCGAGATGAACAAATCGGCTGGACTCACGGCGCGAGTCACACAACTTCGGACAATGCTAGATGAAGTGTACCAAGGGAACTACAAGAGGACCATGCTTGATAGGAACTCGCAGAATGGCACCACTACGTCTGGTGAGTGAATGTAATTAGTGTAACTCCTAATGAACAAACTGGCTGGGCTCACGGCGCGAGTCACGCAACTTCGTACAGTGCTAGATGAAGTGTACCAAGGGAACTACAAGAGAACCATGCTTGATAGGAACTCGCAAAATGGCACCACTGCATCTGGTGAGTGAATTAAAACTCATACGCTCGTATTCACAAACGATGCTTGCTTAAGTGAAGCAGCAAATCGATCGCACAGCGTTGAATAGAGCCTATGATTGGTTCGTGTGTCACCCTGTGCGTCTACGCGCACTGTGAGTCCTCATAGTAATGTTTGTGAAAACGGCGATAATCATCAGAGTATTTTCCTAAATTAAGTTAAGTTAAATTGTTTTTAATTACTTAAATGTTATTCTGAGCTTTGTTACGTCTTGTTTGAATAGTGTAATTCGTACTACCGTTCTATTCATGAATAAATAAATAAATTGTCGCGACTCACGGCGTGTCTCTCGAGAAAATTCAAGAGTATATCAGCAACTTGCTGATCGAGACTGGTATCACTCACCACATAGAATAAATCGCCAAAAGATGAACTCTCGGCCTTCATGTCATATTTGGCCAAGAGATGACCATCTAGTAGACTGGTAGCCGTGTCGTGGAACTTTGAACATTGTTGTACTAAAGGACTATTAGCTATCTAAAGCCCGGTCTGTGAGCACGTAGAATTTTGTCCAATGACCCCAAGCTACCTATCCTTATCGCTCGCGCGTAATTATATTGCTGTCGCGACTGTGCGACGGGCGCCCGCAGTGAGTGTGCGAGCGCGACAGCGACATAATTACGCGCGAGCGACAAGGATGGGTAGCTTGGGGTCATTGGACAAAATTCTACGTGCTCGCAGACCAAACTACAGATGTTGTGGATTGTAAGGATGGGCTGCAGTCTACATAATCTACAATTTACAATGAGTATCCAAGTTTATTCCAAACTAGCACCTATCACAAGCATATAAGATACATTTGTTGTCGGCCGTTTGATGTAGTGGTTCGAAACGGACTACTATTCCGGAGGTTGCGGGTTCGATTCCCGCACAGTACAAACATTTGTGTGCATGAACATATTTGTTTGTATTGGACTGGGTGTTTTCTATGTATAATATGTATGTATTTACAAAAAAAAAGTATTTAAGTATGTTTATATCCGTTGTCTAGTACCCATAGTACAGTCGCGGAATGAAAAGTTCGTCACCTTAGTGTCGGTTTTCGNCTAGCACCTATCACAAGCATATAAGATACATTTGTTGTCGGCCGTTTGATGTAGTGGTTCGAAACGGACTACTATTCCGGAGGTTGCGGGTTCGATTCCCGCACAGTACAAACATTTGTGTGCATGAACATATTTGTTTGTATTGGACTGGGTGTTTTCTATGTATAATATGTATGTATTTACAAAAAAAAAGTATTTAAGTATGTTTATATCCGTTGTCTAGTACCCATAGTACAGTCGCGGAATGAAAAGGTTCGTCACCTTAGTGTCGGTTTTCGCTTGCACTAGGTACTGTAAGAGTCAAACCTGCCAACATAACAGTGCAAGAAACAGTGCTGCTAACATTTAAATAAATATGACGTTTGCTAACGAATAAGGTTTTGCTTGTTTATTTTTCTATCCCATCAGTGCAATGCAATGATGACATTGACCAATTGACAATAGTTTTTTTTATTTAATAGAAATAATAATGGCAGGTTGAACCAACAAGAAGGTTTTAGTTTATCAATCATAATAATCTTCTTGACAAGATAAATCGTCAAACAACTTTGACATCAACATCTGAATAATTTTGAACTTTACTGACGAACAGTTAAAGATTATTTTCTTTAACTCAAGATTATTCTGTAACATAGTTTCAAAAGGTAATATGTGCTCGCGATTCGTTGAAGGAATCAATTTGAAAACTGACGAACCTTTTCATTCCGTGACTGTACAAGCTTTGCTTAGTTTGAGACTAGAAGCGTAGTGTAAAATGTACAAGGATATTTATTATTTATTTATTATTTCCCCTCCAGACACGCCGATGCTGATGGCGCCGGGCGCGGGCCGCATCATCTACCAGGACAAGATCATCCGCTTCGAGCGCGTGCCGCTCGTCACGCCTAACGGAGACGTGCTCATCAAGGAGCTCTCCTTTGAAGTCAAGTTAGTGTTATGAATATTAACAAATCTTTTAAAATACATTTTTAAAGGCCTCCCGGTCGTTGTGGAAATCCTTGGGGAAGGCCTTTGTCCAGCAGTGGAAGTGAAACAAAACACATTTTTAATTTGTATTTAGTTTCCTTTGAATTAATTTTTTACTTTGAATAAATAAATTACACATCCTTGTATAGTATCATGTCCTAAAAAATAATAATTTAACTGCAGTCCACTTTGATTACCCAGGTCATCTTATCCATGGGTGATCAAAGGACACCAAATTGTCGCTTGGAGTCCGCTTTGATCACCTGGGTGATCAAAGCCAGTTGATCAAAGTGGAATAGACCGTCAAAACATATTCCCCACTTGAAAACCCATTCATTAACTCCATTATCGGCAGATATGCCGGACTTTACTGCTAGGTACTTTAGTTTGCTACATTTGTGTCCTGCTTGATGTCCAATGCTTTATTCCTTCTCCTTCTTAACGAGAACACTTATAGGAATCTAATTAAATAAATAAGAAAGTTTCACTTACGGGACATACCTCGAGAAGCAAAGTTTTTAATCTAAATATTCTTTCAGATCAGGAATGAACGTGCTTGTCTGCGGACCGAACGGTTGCGGCAAATCGTCCATGTTCCGAATGCTAGGTGAGCTGTGGCCCATCTTCGGCGGGACCCTCACAAAGCCGCCCAAGGGCAAGCTGTTCTATGTGCCGCAACGGCCTTATATGACTCTTGGGACGCTTAGAGATCAGGTTTGTGGATGAGGTGTTTTGTGTTACTAAAATGAATTGAAGCCTTCAGTTTTTCTAGAACTATCAGAAATTTTGTCTTTTAATCTTTGTAGAACTATCAAAATGTTTGCCTTAAATGATTCAGTGACAACGTCTCAAATAAATAGGAATTTTAGAAAAGCATCTTCATTTGTGTCACTTAACTTCCAATTAATCCTATTTAGGGTAAATGGGCATAAGTGGGTGTGGTCCTTACCAGATACCAATACGTTAATTTTTAAAAATACAGACTTTAAACTCACCTTGTATGATCCGGAACTATTCCCACCATTTGAAGCAGCTTGACCAATAAAAAATAACCGGCTCAGTTTGCATTCTATTACCTACCATCAACAGTGTTGCTTATAAGGGTTATTTTTCTAGAATCAATACCTTTTACTTCGGTAGCTTCGCTCGCGTTAATTAATGTTTGGATCCCTATTTTCATCCACTAACGAACTGGATTTCGAAAAAGCCTTTCTTGACGGATGCCTACCTCATAACATGTGCCAATTTGTAATCCATTCAGTAGTTTGACCTCTATGTTTATAGATTAGTCTTTTTGTTCGCGCCTTGCAGACGCGATGGAATTTTATAAATAAAACTCGGAAACTGCTTATTTCGTTGTATTCTTGAGACGTCACAATTTTGATGTTGTTCGATCGGAATCCAAAAGAGAAGTGATTTTACACAATGTTTAACTCAATATAAAGATTGACTGACAAAAGTTATGTGATATTTACATTAGAAGTAGATTTTGCTATTAGAATATGATGAGGCGCGAGTAGGGCCGCAACACTTTTTAAGTTTTTAATAAACAGATTACAGCAAACTATCCAAACCCTTTTAGGTGATCTACCCCCAAACCCGCGAGGAGATGGTTCGACGCGGGCGTACTGACGCTCAGCTCACAAAGTTCTTGGAACTGGTGCAACTGGCGTATCTTAGTGCTCGAGACGGCGGCTGGGACGCTGTGGAAGACTGGATGGACGTGCTTTCAGGAGGAGAGAAGCAGAGGATAGCTGTGAGTTGGATGGATAGTCTAGCTTTCTAATCTTTTAGGCCTTTTTAGGTAGCCTTTGGAGTTGCAGCAGATAGGTAGAAAGTTCTTGGAGCTGGTGCAACTGGCGTATCTTAGTGGAAGACGACTAGCAGAGGATAGCTGTGAGTTATCCACTCACAGCCATCCAACTGGCGTTATGGAAGTCTAACTTCCTAATCCCTTAGGCCTTTGTAAGTAGTTCTTGGAGTTGCAGCAGACTGAAGTTTCTTGGAACTGTTGCAACTGGCGTATCTGAGCGCTCGCGACGGTAGCTGGGATGCGGTGGAAGACCGGATGGACGTGCTTTCTGGAGGAGATAAACAAAGTATAGCTGTGAGTGGATAGTGTATCTTCTCAACCCTTTTTAGGTAGCTCTTGGAGTTGCAGCAGATAGGTAGTTAGTTCTTGGAGTTGGTGCAACTGGTGTATCTTAGTGGAAGACTGGATGGACGTTCTTTATCGAGGCGAGAAGCAGAGGATAGCTGTGAGTAGATATACTGTTTCCCCAAGTCCTTAGAACTCCTTGAAGGTCTTGGAGTTGCAGCAGACTGAAGTTTCTTGGAACTGTTGCAACTGGTGTATCTTAGCCCTCGCGACGGTAGCTGGGATGCGGTGGAAGACTGAATGGACGTGTTCTTTGGAAGGGAGAAGCAGAGGATAGCTGTGAGTAGATAGACTATTTCCGCAAGACCTTAGAACCCCTTGAAGGTCTTGGAGTTGCAGCAGACTGAAGTTTCTTGGAGCTGGTGCAACTGGCGTATCTGAGCGCTCGCGACGGCGGCTGGGACGCGGTGGAAGACTGGATGGACGTGCTTTCTGGAGGAGAGAAACAGAGGATAGCTGTGAGTGGATAGACTATTTCCCCAAGTCCAAGTCTTATAGCATAGCCTTTGAAGAAACGGATAGATTTAAACAACAAACAAAAACAAAACAACTGTTCAGTCATCTTTAACTTCCTTTGATTGTTGAAAATTCCTGCGGCCCTTTTCTTAGGATCAGGATCATATAGGGCTCTGATATCTGAACGCATATGCTCTCGGGAAGGGAGAAACTTTCCAATCCTTTAAACTTCCTAAAATAGCTCTTGGAGTTGTTGCAACCAGGAAATCTCTCCCAATTCTATTGCAAAGATTTGTATATGGATGAAAGAAGTGGATAGCTATGAGTGCAGTAATAAAAGGGAGCATCTTGCCTCGTGAAGTTTGATCGTGTTTTCACTGTTGGTGTATCTCGTCGGTGGTCTAACCTCCAAGACTGATACTTTTGACTTCGCTTGTATATCTTATCTAATAATTTCGATCCTGCACTGCTAAAACTCAAATAAAAATCTTTGTTTACATTTTTGCAACGAATACATTTATTCTCAGATGGCTCGTCTATTCTACCACGAGCCGCAGTTCGCGATCCTGGACGAATGCACCAGTGCCGTCTCGGTCGACGTGGAAGGCCAGATGTACCAGTACTGCAGAGAGGTCAGTATTTATTTTATTTATTTATTAGGTACACCAATGATAGGTACAACAATACACAATATGTTAAAAAATACGCAAAATATAAGCTAATTGCACTATCACTTAGAGGTATACACAGCTTGCAAGAAATATAAGTTGCTGCTTAGTTAGCATAAATGTTGTTATATAGGTTAAATTATTATGATATAGAGTCAGTATTTCTCAGCAATTACCATTTCTTTTCTTCTTCCTTTGCACTTCACTTCATGTATTTTTATTATTCGTCATTCAGTCGGGACAAACGATTTTATTAGTCCACGAATCTCAATGCAGCTGTTTTCTAGAACATCTATCCAAATTAGCCACTTCTCTTCTAATATTATTTATTATCATAAACTATTGTTTCCATTAGTTTATACTTTTTTAATCAATGATTGAGTGTTTCTTATATTCGACGTGTAATGGCAATGAATAAAAAAGTATCATATCCTGCCGTATCTTTATCAATTTTCCTCAAGTATTCTGTTCGCATGTTGAAAAAAGTACAGTACAGACTATGCATTTTTGTTGCATAGTCGCCTCTATTATGATTGCATAAAGAGCTACAGAGTTTACCTTGATATGCCGACTGTACGTAATAATTGCTATAATTTTCATGATGATAAACATCATGTTTTGTCTGTGACGCTAGTCGGTAATTTTATTTTACAATTTAAAAATAATTTATGGATTTATCACTGATACGTGTATAAAAGTAACTAACCGTATCCATCTTATATTATTATACAGGGTGTCCCAGAATAAGTAAATGAAACTATGGGAGGTAGCTTGACCTCTGAACTACTCCTAAAAATATGAAAAATATTTTTTTAGTACAGAAATGTGTATATTTGTGCAGAGTAAAGACTTTTACCAAAACAAAATCAGTAATTTTAATTTGGAGCTTCTTATCACCACAGATGGGCATAACCCTCTTCACCGTATCGCACCGCAAGTCGTTATGGAAGCACCACGACCACTACCTCCAAATGGACGGCCGAGGCGGCTACGTCTTCGAGGCCATAGACAACGAAACGCAGGAGTTCGGTTCGTGATCGAATCGGCGTCGGCTCGGAGTCGTGGCGACGTCGATTCGAAAGCGAACCCGGGTCGGAACGAAATCGAAGCGCGTGTATATGCGATGCACGCGTTGTGTTTTTTAATGCATTTTAAATCAATGTATCTGNCAAGACAAACAATCAACAATAGTTATAGGTAATTGATGACAATATTATAGGAAAGGGGAAATGCAGTTTTAAAAGTTAATAATAATAACAAATAATACTGGAGCTGGAATCATAAATTAAAAACTATTTATTGCTATTTTATTTATGACTAGCTTTCCGCCCGCGGCTTCGCGAGCGTGGACTACATTATCTACATATTTTACGTAACCCTATTTTTTTCCAAAATAAAATTTAGCCTATGTTATTCGTGGATAATGTAGCTTTCGAATGGTGAAAGATTTTTTAAAAACGGTCCAGTAGTTTCTGAGCCTATTCATTACAACCAAACAAACAAAGTTTTCCTCTTTATAATATTAGTGTAGATCAAGAGAAGCGAATAGTTTTTTGTAATAATTAAATCGCTATTGAAAAGTAAATTCAGAGTAGTTTTTTAATCTGTGTAAGCCGATAAATTGTTATCGTACTGGATTAATTCTGATTATTTCCATGGATAAAAAAACGATTTTCTACATTATGGACGTAATTACAAGGTTGAATGATTACTTTTTAAACGTGTAATTTTTTTTATAATTTTATCATTGATTGTATTAGATCTGATGCCCTTAAAGTACAGTCAATAAAGTAAATAAAAATTACATTACATACAAACCGAATTGAATACCTCCTCTTTTTTTAAGTCGATTAATAAGATGCCACAGTGTTTATTTTGCTGTGATTACATTGTCAATATTTAGTCTAGACATTATCAAATAGCACAAACTATAGATAATTTAGTATGGTATTGATAAATCCGTGTGGTGACGGCAGAGTAGAATACATTTGTCACCAACCCCTACTCTTCCCGCGGGTGTCATAAGAGGCGACTTGGGGACTACACATCAAACAGAGAACGGGCAGCAGCGCTCTCTGAAAAACATCAATCTTTTAAACTGCGATCTCCAACCCGCCTGCCAAGCGTGGGGTTTATGGCAAAACCCTCCACTGTAGTGGAGGTGGCTCATAGTCCAGCAGTGGACTGTAAAGGGCTGTTGATGATGATGATTGATAAATCAAAATGATAAACTTTTAATATCAGTAACATGGTTAAAGTCAAAGTTCAGAGAACGTTCCTCGAATTTGAGTACCTATTTACCTAGGTATATGATATCTTTGATGATGATGATTGATAAATCAAAATGATAAACTTTTAATATCGTTAACATGGTTAAAGTCAAAGTTTAGAGAACGTTCCTCGAATTTGAGTACCTACTTACCTAGGTATATGATATCTCTGTATGTGGGTAAACAATATTAGGTAAACAAGCGCTACATTTCCTCACTGCGTGCTTGGCCTTTGCAATCAGTGATACGCACTTTGAACAGTTTGCATGCATATAATATTTTAACCGGCTTCAAAATAGAGGAGGTTCTCAATTCGGTTGGTATGTTTTTTTTAAGGACATTTTATACTGGACGGCAAAGATTAAAATAAAATTATTATTGAAAAAAAAACCCAACTGTGTAAAACTGAACTAAAAATATAAAAACAAGACAACTTATTGTTCACATTATGCAGTCGGAGGCATCAATTACATATAACCAACAAAATAATTAGTCTTGTTTTTATCATTTTACTTAATTTTTACGCAGTTGTGTTTTTTTTTCAGTATGTTTGTTTCATAAAGCTAGGTCAGGTCAGGTACTTTTGAAGATATAGAAGATTTACTTACTGACCCTTTTTCTTTGCGGTCCAGTGTATAATTATTATGAGCTGTGCTGTATGTAAATTTTTATCGTATAGTGAACTATACGATAAAAATTTGAATAGTACAGTTGTAATTTGTATGGCCTAATAACGGCGAATGTGCAAGTCTTCCTGATGGAAATAAACCAAGTTTAGTTGTTAACATTCAAACGGTCGCCAGTGATAACTATTGTAAATCATTGACCTTTACTCGAATGCGCTCGCGCATCACGTCCCAGCCTTAACTACACGAGGCGTGAATCAGCGAATGTTGGGTGGGTTTATTGACGTAACAGCTATACATTTAATTTTCGACTTTGTACTGTTAAATTGGAGTTAATATAGAAATAATACACTCGACATCAAATAAATCGCACCTCCCGCGACAAGCCCTTTCAAACGTATGCCTCCCGACAAGCCCTTTCAAACGTATGCCTCCCCACTTCCCACCAATATTGGCACCATTTAAAAGCCTAGTTCTAACCTTCATTTCATTAAAGGAAAGGTTTTTACCCCAAAAATGTGTCTTTAGAATGATCCAGTCACTTCTTCAAAAAATAGGTAGTTGCGCTTGAGCCAACTTTTATGGATATAAAACTGTTAAGTTGGGATTAATCGCTATCCATCTGTTAAAGAGGACATGAGTGTGATCATTATTTGGTTTTATAACCATAAAATTTGGTCTAATTGATCCCAGAGGTGAGCCCAAAGTGAGGTCTTTTTTCAAGTCACATTTATGGTATATATTAATCATTTACTAAGAAATTAAATGTGTTTTTCTTAAAGGATATTTATTGGGCTTTCAAATAACACCAATATTGTTGGGGCACTATGATTGTGTCAGAAGAAAATCTTTAAAGTTCGCGTCGCGGAAGGTGCGGTTTATTTGATGTTGAGTATATTTTCGACGATCGCGACCGTACAAGTAAATCATAAAAAAATCTGTATTTGTATAAAACAGACTATTAAATTGTACTTACAAATCGTAAATATTCAACGACAAAGTAAAATAGGTACTAATAAAAAAACTTACAGCTAATTTCAGCTGTATAAGCCATTAAGGTCTGATTTTTCAATTGCCGGATCACTTATCTAAAGAATAAAATAAGTTTGGCATATTGACAGTTTCAGTATGGGAAATATGTCAAAATGACAAGTTTATTCTTCAATTAAAAGATATCTGACGATTGAAAAATTAGCCCTTATTGTCTCATAATCTTTACCAGCGCTTCCAAATCAATATGTGACAAGCGCATAGTAAAATACAAATAGCATAGAAATGCTTCTTTACAGATGCAGCAGTACAATGCGATTTTAAAAATAATGCAAACTATTGCAAACGAATAAAAATACCTATTGCATTAATGAATATAAACAAAGCCAATGATGGGATAGTTAAAAAAAAGTATGTTTATTTTTCGAGCCACCGCGGCACCGGAAATGTTGTGTCGACTTGGTTCAACCGATTTTGACGTAATTCATTTGCATCTGCCAATTTGTAAATTAACGACTATGCATACGTACCGAATACAGTCAGCTTCAAATAGTTCGTGACACTCAAAGTAGCCAATAAGTTCGCAACTCGTCTTATCGTCAAGGTTGTGTTGTCAATTTTTTGGCCAATTTTTGTATTACAAACTATTTGACGCTGACTGTACATCAAGCTAAACACTGTGGTTCCAAGTATTTGGAATAGGTTCGATTTTGTAAGTAAATTGTATGGTTTGATATGCGGCCGACTGTACCATCGCACGTCGCAGTAGAACCGGCTTTGGAAGCCACCGTAATAAGATTTTCACTTTCGTACCTTAGACTTTGGACTCCGGACTCGAATACCATACAAACCACTAAGATCCACCTCCTTTGGTATTCAAGATGTAAATTCAATTATTGAGTCAATTTTATCAAATAAAACATATTCAAATTATATTAATTTACCTACGCAATCTTAAATCTCAGAGAAAGTGTGTACTTTGACTTTTAACGAATCTCTTACAAGCCTAGTTTGCACTTATTACATATCTTATTAAATAAATAAATAAATAATATCTTGTTTAATTAAGTATTTGCTGTATTTAATTGAAAAAGAGGCTGACAAAGGTGACTGAGTTTCTTCCGCCACTTCTTCTCAGCACCAGTCCATTATGTTGTCCCGAAGTTATGGTAGGGCAAGTTTGTATTTGGGGCGTGCATAAGCGCCCTGAAAAGGGCTTAAATACTGATTTAATTTTGATTTGAATCCTTTAAGCATATTTATGAGCTCATAAAGATGAGTCATATAGATTAACAGCTTTTAGAATTACATAACACAGTGGACCTGTTTAGTCCAGAAATACGTACGAAAGTGTTATGACTATGTTTTATAGGTACTTACGTAGCGACCACGTCAAATGGCTATAATTTTAGCTTAATTGGAGTCAAACTTGGACATTATCTTGTACTTAATGTATGTATACTGTACTGCTATGTTGTCATATTCGCGTTGACCTTCTAAAGATTATGTACCTATTCACTTACCATTTCGTAGGTTTTGTTGTATTTAAAAGTTAGCGGACGCCTGCTACTGTGATCGCGCAAAAAATAAAACCTTTTTTATTATCTACTTTAAAATATGTATTGTGCAAAAAATTACTAGTCGTGTATTTTTTATTTAGTCTATTTATAACATAAAACAAATTTCAAGATTTTGTAATGAATTTTAATCCGAGCTTGAGTAAGGCCTTTCAATAAAAATTCTAAAATTTTTGGCAGTTTTTTTCTGTCTGAAAACTATTTTTCGAGCATTCAAGGTTTTTTCTATGCGTGAAAAACTAATATAAATACTTACAGCTTTCTAGAAAAGTAAGCGTAGCGTTTGCGTAGTCTATGATACGCTTACACAATGGTCTTGGTTATTATCACAAAGAAAACTGCTCGGCTGGTGATTGAACCAATTGACATATCCGACTCATCGCTGGACAGTTGGTACACACAGACTACGTTTTGTTGTAAAATCGCATCTGTTTTAACTTCCTATAAGGCACCACGGTGTTTAGCTTTATATGCTGTCGACTGTACCTATATCTAGAGTGACGACTTTTCTCGTATAGACTCGACAGTGGTTTAGAAATTCGCATGTTTGAGGGCTTAGTGTGAGTTTACTTATATGAAACGTCCTCACTAGTGAGAGCATTAAAAAAAAATGAAAATTTGGCGCTGTACAATCCGTCATAAATATAATGTAGGTAATTTTTTTACGCGCTCACTAGTAACGATTGATGCAAACTCACACAC